TTTTGGTCCACTGGTGAAGAGCTTTGCAATCCAGCTTGTCGTTTTATTTATTTCTCATGGCTTGTTGGCTGGGAAATCTGTTAATTAGGTGTTATCGCTTAAAACCCACTACACACGCTAATGTAAAACCTCCTGATAGAAACTTTTATAAGTTAGATGAAGTAACCTTGCTAAGAAATGAGTGGCAGGAAACGCCCTAGAGAACCAAGATGGCGGCATAGGTTAACGCCGGAGTTTGCTGCTTTGAACAACTACTTCAAAAGTGAAACCCAAAAACGGAAGGGACAGCACCCAGAACCACAGGAACGCTGGCTGAGTGGAAGTCCTACAACTAGGAGGAAAGAGAAACGCATACGGACACTCAGAGGAGGCGCAGTGCTGAAGTCAAGTTCTGAGGTGCGGAGTGCGCAGAGCGGGCTGGCGGCGGAGGGCGCGGTTGGCGTTTTCAATCCGGAGGGAGTCGCAGACTCTGAGCTCCAGATTCGGGCGAGTCTTTAGCAACCCAGACTCAAATGGGAGAAGCGGGACTGTCTGGCTTCGGTCAGAGCGAGTGCAGCTTTCTCTCTGAGCTTTGCAGGGGGTGCTGGGACTCAGAGAGGCAGAGCCCCTGGGGACAGGACTGAGAGCCGCCATAACTGCTCTCTCCGGCCCACCCTGTTGATCCTGTGCGACCCGCCCCGCCCAAGCCCTGCACACAGGCATTTGCCGGATAGCCTCAGGCAAAGGCTAGATTAGCACCTCCCTAGAGGACAGAAGTTCTCTCACTGCTGACACAGCTGATTCTCATAGCCACTTGGCCTGGAGGTCAAACCCTCCCTGGAATTAGCTACAACAATCAAGATTTAACTATAAGACTACGAACAAAGACCACTAGGGGGTGCACCAAGGAAGCATAACAAAATGCGGAGACAAAGAAACAGGACAAAATTGTCAATGGAAGATATAGAGTTCAGAACCACACTTTTAAGGTCTCTCAAGAACTGTTTAGAAGCCGCCGATAAAATTAATGAGATCTACAAGAAAACTAATGAGACCCTTGATGTTATATTGGGGAACCAACTAGAAATTAAGCATACACGGACTGAAATAACTAATATTATACAGACTCCCGACAGCAGACCAGAGGAGCGCAAGAATCAAGTCAATGATTTGAAATGCGAGGAAGCAAAAAACACCCAACCGGAAAAGCAAAATGAAAAAAGAATCCAAAAATGCGAGGATAGTGTAAGGAGCCTCTGGGACAGCTTCAAGCGTACCAACATCAGAATTATAGGGGTGCCAGAAGATGAGAGAGAGCAAGATATTGAAAACCTATTTGAAGAAATAATGACAGAAAACTTCCCCCACCTGGTGAAAGAAATGGACTTACAGGTCCAAGAAGCGCGGAGAACCCCAAACAAAAGGAATCCAAAGAGGACCACAGCAAGACACATCATAATTAAAATGCCAAGAGCAAAAGATAAAGAGAGAATCTTAAAAACAGCAAGAGAAAGAAACTCAGTTACCTACAAGGGAATACCCATACGACTGTCAGCTGATTTCTCAACAGAAACTTTGCAGGCCAGAAGGGAGTGGCAAGAAATATTCAAAGTGATGAATACCAAGAACCTACAACCAAGATTACTTTATCCAGCAAAGCTATCATTCAGAATTGAAGGTCAGATAAAGAGCTTCACAGATAAGGAAAAGCTAAAGGAGTTCATCACCACCAAACCAGGATTATATGAAATGCTGAAAGGTATCCTTTAAGAAGAGGAAGAGGAAGAAAAAGGTAAAGATACAAATTATGAACAACAAATATGCATCTATCAACAAGTGAATCTAAGAATCAAGTGAATAAATAATCTGATGAACAGAAGGAACTGTTGATTATAATAGAATCAGGGACATAGAAAGGGAAAGGACTGACTATTCCTGGGGGGGAAAGGGGTGTGGGAGATTTGGGAAGAGACTGGACAAAAATTGTGCACCTATGGATGAGGACAGTGGGTGGGGAGTGAGGGCGGAGGGTGGGGCGGGAACTGGGAGGAGGGGAGTTATGGGGGGAAAAAAAGAGGAACAAATGTAATAATCTGAACAATAAAGATTTAATTTAAAAAAAGAAAAAAAAGAAATGAGTGGCAAACCAGAATGCATAATGAACACTTCTCTCAAATATGCCAATGACAATGAAAAAGTGAGCTAAGTATGTATTCACACCTCCTAGAGAGACTGGTCTGTATAGAAAAGCGTTATGTTTCCATACATGTTGGAGGCAGATTAGTAACTAATCTGAGTCATCTGAGGCTTGGGGGTAAGGGTCTGGAATCCCAGCTAATACCTACCACTAGTTAAATAAACTGATCACAACTCTTAGCCTACTCTCCTCAATGGTAAAATAAAACTGATAATATTTTATTAGATTTACTTAAAAAGGTGATATCTAAAAAGTGCTTGGCATTTAGTAGACTCTCTGATTTTTGTTCTTTCCTACATTTTAACTCATTTAACATCAATAAATTTAACACAAGAAATTTAACATCAATACATTTAACACAAACATTTTTAATTCAGATCAAAATAAATGATTGGTCAATTTTTCTTCTTAGTGGACGAGTGCATAAAATGGGAATGTCCAAAAGATAAACATCTTCAATGTGCTATCCTTAAAGTATGAAATATTCAAAATTAAATCCCTTAAAATTCAATGTTTTCAAAATCTAGATAAAATCATACTGCCTACTACTATTAGTGCCATTTGTGAATTACTTATTTTAAAAATAAGATACATGTAGTTACTCATATGCAGTATAGTAAAAATTATAAAATTTAACTAACCAATATTAAATATTTGTAATATTTAATACAATTTTAAAATTCCTTTTCTAAACTTTGAGATAAAATTTCATAAAATAAAATAGAAAATAATAGCTACTAGTGTATTCTTTGTTAGATTTTTCCTGAATATAAATCACATTAAACAAAATCTATAATAATCCTATATAATAAAATGGACTGAATGGCAGAACAACAGAACAACCAAAGCATAGTATGCTAATGATATGTTAAAGCTGCTCAACCACTCGCTATGACGTGCACCAACCACCAGGGGCAGATGCTCTGACCAGTAGGTTAGCTTGCTGCTGGGGTCCGCTGATTGGGACTGAGTGAGATGGGCCAGACATACCCTGGAGCCCTCCCATGGTCCCTCCCTTGATCATGCACCGGTGGGGTCCCTCAGCCTGGCCTGTGCCCTCTCGCAATCCGGGACCCCTTGGGGGATGTCGGAGACCCAGTTTTAGCCTGATCCGCAGGCCACTCCCCTTGGGAGGGCACCAGACACAGGGCTCATGGCTGGCAAGCGCTGCTACAGCAGCATGAGCCTCTCCCAATCAGGACTGATTAGGTGCGAGCCTGCGGCAGGCACAGTGGGGCCGGGATGAGCAGGAGCAGCAGGTAGGCACTGCAAGCGGCGTTGGACTGCGGGTTTCAGCCTGATCCCTGCAGGCCACCCAGAGGGACCCCACCCATGCATGAATTTGTGCACTGGGCCTCTAGTAAAAGCATAATATGCTAATTACACTGGACATCCTTCCGGATGACCTTCCAGACGAAGCTTCTAATTCAATCAAAGCAATCAAACTAAAGGTTATATTAAAATTTGAAATTTAAGAGTATTTTATAAGAACATTTCTGTATTTGAAAGTTCACATATACCAATTTTCACAAATACATTATTTCCTAGAACAAAAATTGTTGAACCTGCTTTAAAATATATATAATTAACTTAAAATTAACACATTATAACTATACAAGTAATATGCTAAAACCATTTTAGAAAACATGAACTACTTTTACATAAATACGTTAAACATTCTTCCTGCAACTTACTGATATTAATAAATTGCTCAAACAACTTTTCTTAAAGTTAAATTCTATTCCAATTTATATTACAATTATAAAATTTAAACTGAGTAGGTTTTTATACTTTCTAAAGGTTACATATTTCTGTGAAATACAACTAAATGTTTTGAAATAAAACAATGAGAATTATTCACACCTAAAAATTATTTCCTCTTCTATAGCCTGTAATTTTTTTTCATGTTGCACTCATTCTAAATGGTTCATTATTTTCTTAAATAGGGTGTCCCAAAAAATGTATACACACTTTGCATGATTATAAAGTCAGTGTTTATTAACATACGGTTAACTTTCAAATTGTAAAAGAATCTACAGAAATGAATAATTTTTTGTCAGCATCTTTTTTTCATATATATATAGAGAAAGCCCTATAGATATATAGATATATAATTGTTTTTCAGAGAGGAAGGGAGAGGGAGAGAGACATAGAAACATCAATGATGAGAGAGAATCATTAATCGGCTGCCTTCTGCACACTCCCCCCTGGGGATCAAGCCCACAATCCAGGCATGTGCCCCTACCAGAATCAGGAAATTGAACCATGACTTTTTGGTTCACAGGTCGATACTTAACCTCTGAGCCACACTGGCTGGGCTGTCAATGCCTTTTTTCAAACTGATGGTTCCAGTCCAAGCACTGCTGATAATTCAAAACAATGGAATCATGAACATCAAGAATTATTTTGTTCAGTATTTGTGTGCCCTCAATTAATCAACTGTTGCCTGTTTTGTACTGTAAACTTTTTTTTTATGTAACCCCATAGAAAAATCTAGTGGGTAAATTTTCTTTGTTCAAAGCTTAGTCTGGCTTCACCTATTATATCAAATCAGTTAAACCTGAAAAGGAGTGAAGATTGAGTTATCAGCTGTAAAAGTGTGTATACGTTTTGAGGGAGGAATGTATATTGCACACCCTGAGTCCCCCCAAAAATGTATGCACACTTTGAATAATTAAAAAGGCAGTGTTTGTACTTCTACTGCATTTTCAAACTTCCAGTAGCATTTTAGGGTGAATTTTCTTTGTTTAAAACTTAGTCTGGCTGAAAAGAAAAACAAAATGAATTTGAGCTATCAGCTGTTAAAGTGTGTGTACATGTTTTTGGGACACCCTGTATTTGTTTATTCATTGTGATATGAATTTCTTTAGGTCTTACTCATCTTTTCCTTACTTACCTCTCACATAGTGCTTTGTAAAATAAAAGGTGGTCAACACATATTTGTTTAATTAAATTGAATTCTGTCATTACATAATTAGCAGTGTCAAATGATAATAATTCAGTTACAATCTGGAATACAGGAAAAAAATACAGGTGTGGAAATCTGCATTTCTCATTATGTAAATTGTTACTACTTCTTTGACATGATATACTGAGAAAAATAATTGGGCTATTTTAGGTTTCCCAATACTTAGAAAAATATGCCTTAAATATTTAATAGCCAGCAGATTTTAATTAAACATATTATTGTAAACTTCTTTATAAATCCCTTTACTGAATCAAATCCAGTACTATAAGCTGCACAAAGTTTGTTTTTTGTTACAACTTAGTCTGCATAGATTTATAAACATTTTACTGAATATTATCTTCACTGATTTAGATGGACACCATTTTATCAATTGTCTGATCATTTATTACTACAGATAAGAGTTTATTAGAGATATTTGTGTGAAAAATAAATCAAATTATCAGTATTTTAAAGTCATTTAAACAATGTTCACCAAAAGATTTTTTAGAAAAACTATACTCAATAAACTATATAATTTGTCCCAATATTTGGCTACTTATGCTGACCAAAGTTAATGTTGATTAATATTTCATCCAGTTGTTTCACATTAAGCAAAGTAGAAACACAGACTTTAGAAATAACATAAATATCATAATTATTGTAGATCTATTTAGTCACATATTTTGACGCTGCTGCTAGCATTTGGAAAATCTTCAACTAATACAGTGGATAGAAATATTTCAGACATGTCTTTCTATTTAGTTGTAGAAAGGCTGTATTGAAAGTATTAGGTTATTTTATCTGTTCCCAAAGTAACTACTATGTAATTTTAAATAGTTCACATTGCTACTGTGTGCCTCAGTTTCTCATCAGACAACCAGGGCTAATATAATTTATTACATTTTTGAAAACAGTCAAATAAATGACATGTGTTAAAGTTCTTGGAAAAAAATGTAATTTACAAATATATTATATAATCTTAATAACCTTCCAAGATATTACAATATTTATAAAATGCATTACCACCAAAATTCTGGTCCTACAATTATCCAGGAAATAATATACACCAAAGCGACTTTAAGCTCCAACTAAAAGCCATGTTATTGAAACTCAAGAATAAACTTTGCATGTAGATATGAGCTTTAGATGTGCTTATATATATATATTTTTAAATTTTCAAAGATTATTAGAAACTTTTAAGGGAAAATGTGTCAAAATGGGGACAATTTTTTATTTACAAGTTACCTAGAGATATTTAATACTCAGTATGGTAAATAATTTAGAGCTTTCTAACTGAAACCAAGTTTTGCCATTATACATATACTGTGCCAGTAAAGACAATTTGTTATTTCATGCATACATATGAGTTGTAAAACAGACATAGAAGAGAAAAAAGATAAAAACTCTATGTAGAAAATAGAATTTTATAACTACATTTTACATAATATTCCAAGAGATATCATTGGTTATTTTATTATTTTGAAAATATCACTTATTTCAACAACTAAAAAAATGTTAAAGCCTGATATAATCTTCAACATTTGAAAGGATAATCATTGAAAAATATGTAGAACAAAAATTCCATCTCAATGCCATTGATACCACTTATACTGTTGAACAAGTATTATATGAGGTATTGAACATTGCACATAATTATACACTTAGGATTTGACATTGTAGCTAAACCAGTTGTTCAAGGCCACTAAAATACTGCAAGAAGATTAAGATTAACAGTGGGGAGGAAAAAGAACTATAAAAGCCCTTCTAACTCAAATGCAGAAGATGGTGATTTCACTCAAAAGCATGTCACACCTACTAAGAATTTTCAGTAATTCACGACACAAAACAAGATATCCACCTCTATTTTTTTTGTCTTCGCTATTACATTAATCCAATGGTGATATAGTACATGTTTTGGACCTGCACACCAGTGTGACATTTATTATTATGTTTCCGAACGTACTCCTTAAAGAGTTCACATATGTGATGAGCACTAATTAAATTTCACCACTCTGCTAGGTGTATGGCTCTTAAATTTTACACTAATTAGTACTTTGTCTTAGTAACACCACATCGAGTACTCAAAATTCATGTTTTAATTGAAAGAAATGCTGAGAAGTTTAGGTATAAGTAATAGATATTAACTGCTAAAGTATAAAATTTAATTTTAGATGACACTCATTCTATGGATTAGGACCTATAAACCTATAATAAATATATGGCTCTAGTTTCTAAAATACCTATTTTTTTTTATTGTGGTGTTGCTGTTTTATTGCCAGTGTCCACTGACTATTAAAGGTAGAATATTTCCTTTCAATGATTTGAAATAAAATTTGGAGGAGTGAAAAAACCTCAGGAAAATAGAAATTGGTCCACAAACATGTGGCTTATGCACAGAGTTGTATTGGTATTTTATAATGATAAATTTTTAAAATATACCAAATTGGAGCATCTAAGCAATGTTTGGAAAGCTGGCCTACAGTGTGAGAATACCATTTAAAATCATTTGTGTTACACAACAAAAGAAAAGTGTTGTCAATGCAAAAAAAATAAAAATAAAGTTTTTCTCAAGAAAAGTAACTTTTGGACTTAACTTTAATGTACAGATGGCACAACTGGCATCGAGGGTCATTAAAGGCTAATAGGCCCACTTGAGGTATGGTTGCTGAATGGGGGATTAGAGTCACAGACACAGTACCAACACACGCACAGAGTTTTTAACTCTCTGGACCACCCAACATGAGATGGATGTGCAAACAAGATGAAAAAATAAATATTTTTTCAGCGCTAATAATTGTTAAGGATGCACAAGTTTTTATGCAATAGGAAGTTTGATCAAAATGATGACAAGATTTATATTTAGAATGCACGACTGCCACTTACTTAGAAGATTTTTAAAAAGTTTAGTTTATACATGAATTTTGCTTGAGTTCATTTTTTATATGGTAGAATAGACCACTGTTAAGGAAGTAGGCGAAATAAATTCATAACAGTTGAGAAACTTAGTCAGGAAATTGTCAAGAAGGATAGTGTTGAGATAAATTTTTTTGAGCCTTTTCAAAGTTTGCAGAAGTTTATAAAAAGAGTTACATTTTCCTTGATCTGAAGAGATTCTTTGAAGAAGTACAGTGTACAACATACTATATACATATGGGGTTTCCCTATGTACATTAACATATGCATACACTATCTATATGCCTTTTTTTTTAACAACTTTAAAAAAATGGGTTAACAACACAATAATCATTGCAGGACATTTCAAGTGCTGAAATAAGTGACCTTAATCACTTAAAGGGCTATTTTACCTCTTACAATGCCCAAGACTAAGACTATAATTTCCTTTTTTTTCCCCCTTTCATTGCAACACTGATTGTCATAGATAATCTTTGTGCTTTTGTATAATGCCCATCCCGGATGTCACATTGGAGTAGACAGCATTGGACATTGTAAATAAGCATGCTGGAACACAGGTAGGACCAACAACCATGCACAAAGTATTCTGAATGTGTTTTTTCAAACTGACTGCAACATCAACATGCACCACTATCATATTTGGTCCTGTAGAGCAAGGAATGTACAGCTGAAGCAATCATGGCTAGTTTCGCTTGCAAGAGTTTCTTTAAAGAAGAACACCCAATAAGGAAACAAAGCAGGATGAGTGAGATAAAACAAACAAACAAAAAATCCCCCATGACCAACAATTAAAAAAAAAAAAATCCTCCCACACGTTAACACTGAAAGTCTGGCCATTCTCCTCATTCTGCATAGAGCAGGCCTTCTCGCAGAAATGTTAAGTTAAATTAGTGCCTCACAGCTTTTCCTAACCATTGGAAAAGCTCATCTTGGTAAAGCATTTTCCAGCGCACATTGGCTTCGACGGTTTCCAAGGCTCTTGAGAAAGAGGCAGCGGCTACTCCATCATAGTTCTTCATGAAGTTCTTTAGCTAGAAATAAAGATTTTTCAAATGGTAATTATGCAGGTCCAACATATATAAACAAGAGTCCATTTTAAACAATGGGCCACACTCACTACAGAAGTATACTTAATATGTGGAGAGAGCTTAGTATTGAAATGCAATATGACTGGGTCCACTAGGTGTTAATTATTTTAGAATTGAGAGGAAAATGAGGAGTGGGCATTGCAGTTTAAGTAGTCATAAAATCAACTCTTGCTTCATAAATAAATATTAAATAGACATATTTAATTTATCTCTTCATAATAGGCTGATGGTATTGTGGCAAAAACAAGTTGTAATTATGAAGCATATCCAACAGACAAAATAGCCTTAAAAACTGAATATAAGGATTATAGTTTACTTTTTGTTTGTAGAGAGACAATTCTCCTTAATTTTCTCCAAATAAGGAGTCTGAGAGCTTGACACTATCTTTGATGGCAATGGAATTACCAAAGGTATTGAGCAGTGGGGAAAAAATACTGATGGTATGAAAACTGGGTGATTAAATGGCATTGCAATCACCTGAGTAACTAGATTTAGAAAGAATGAAGGAGGAATGTGGTCTCAGTGAGGCAGAGAATTGGAACACTAAATTAAAATCTTGTAATTTTTAAATGTTTTGTCATAATTTTTATGGATATGAGATTTTCTCTATCGAGTTTGCATATTCTGGAAATGCTCAAGGATTTTATTTCAAGATTCAATGCCAGCAGTTTTTCTTTCTGTTTGGTATGTCTTTAGAAATTGGCAACCAACCAAGGATCGTGATGCTAATAGACAAATGTGAAAAATAAACTTGCAGCAGAGAAGCATTATGTGGTGTAATTAGTATGAGGTGTGATTCATCACACGGTGGGCACCACGTGGAGGATATGCCAGGAGGGAAATGTATTTTGCATCAGGAATGGCCCAAGGATGGGGAAATAGGGGGAGGAGGCATTTAAAATGGAGTTAATTATACCTTTTGAATTAATTTAAAAATCAGTTCTGGGTAGTTCGTTTTGTTTATGGCAGTGTTACTTTGATGACATAATACTGATGGGTTTTCTCAGTTTTTCCTCTACTTTCCTACACACACCCCAGCATCACCGCATTAGCAACAAATAACCGTATCTCAGAGCAATATCGTTTACAAGAATTCAAAATCAGTATGCTTTTATAACAAACATGTAAAATATCCAATGTATAACAAATATTTACCTGCAGTATCTTTAAAATTGGTTTGACATTTGACCAAATTTACACATACTAAGGAAAGGAGAAGAAAGACTGGGATTTATTGAATAGCTCCCAATGGCTCAGACACTGTGCCACACGCAAATACCTGGAACATGTACACATATGTAGAAAGGAAATCTAATGGAATCACCAGAATAAATTTCTTAAATTTTAGTTTATTAATCCAATAATTCATTTTTATTTATATAGTTATGTTCAGACCCATTCAGTCTATATCTCTAAAGCAACAAGTAATACATGGGTATCTATGTTTTGAATTTAGTGTTTTAATTTATTACAAAACATGCACACTACATTGTACATTTGTAAATTATATATGTACAGTACAGTGGCATTATTTACATAATATACCAATCCAGAAAAAAATTCCATCTATTCATTATATGCTTTATTATATATTTTCCTGGGTAGTCACTGAACATGCCAAATAGTGATAATGATCCTTTGGCAACTTTGATTCCATGGAGCATAGCCATGGGCTTCCTTTTTAAAAATAATATATTCTTATTGATTTCAGAGAGGAAGGGAGAGGGAGAGAGAGATAGAAACACCAACGATGGGAGAGAATCACTGATTGGCTGCCTCCTGCATGCCCCCTACTGGGGATGAAGTCCACAAACCGGGCATGTGTCCTTGGCCAGAATTGAACTTGGGACCGTCCAGTCTGCAGGCAGACACTCTATCCACTGAGTCAAACCAGCTAGGGCACCATGGCCTTCTTAATGAGATAGCAAGCCAGCCTGCACACATGGAGTACTAGTAAATCTCTTAAATCCTCCTCAAAGGCAAACAATAGGTTGCATATGAATGTGCTATTGACAGAATAGCAGGTCAGATTATCCTGCAAGAGAATGCTCAGTTGAAAATGAAATTATAGGTCTCTTGGGAGTCATTTCCTAAATCACTATTTAATTACACTAAATACCACCGTGATGAGCTCAGAGAGCCTGAGGTGACTCACTTTAGAGGCCATGGGGTAGTAGGAGGCAGTTGACATTCTAGTTTGCTGATTTCTGCATCCCTTTGGTAGGATTTCTGCTGCTATTTGTTTTTATTATATTGTTTCCTAAATATCTATGCCTTCTTATGGTTTTATATGAAAAGGTTGCATTTAGACATTTTTTATACAATAACATTTAGTAAGATGTCAGAGTTGTTTGTTCTCCCTGTTCTTCAGAGCATAAAATTTCTAGACATGGTTGTTAATTTTTCTATTAAAAACATTTTTAGCATTTTATAAAACTCTTATTTTAGGGTGTCCTAGACACCAAATATCACAAAGTAAATTATTTGTACAGTAAATTGCAGGATATATATAAATGAATCAGATCATTGCCCTATTATGAAATTTATGTTTTCAACATTAAAACTGTAAATGGGATGTCTGAGATGCATGGGATCTATATTTGTTCACAACAGTGTTGTACACTAGGTTCAAGAGGCAGGCATGTGAGTGCTAGAGAGGAATGCTTAAAGGATATGGGTATGGAAAAATGGCAAGGGTCTCCGAGGTTCCATGTGGTTGTACTTCCATTAGTTTGAAATTAAAGAAATAATGCACTCTCTCATGGAGAAATACTGTTCAAATTGCTAGAGCCATGAAATCAAAGGAAATTGCATTTCCGGTTCTAGAATGCAGTTTTTAGGATGGGACCATGTAACAATATAAGTATCTCTACTTAATGCCCCTAAAGCTGATGGGGATCATGAAAATCTTAAATGAGTTTTCAGAATTCATAAAGTCGCTGATTCCCTTTTGATCTATAAACTGTTGAAATAAGAATGTGCCATACCCAGAGGGAGCACATTGGGTTTTCTGCTTATGAGGCTCGTTGGTTATAGGAGAATGAGCCTGGAATTTCTTCAGCCCCTTTATATTTATGGAAGGGGTTATCAGCAATACAAATTAAACCCCCATTCCGCCTAGCAACAGTGGTCCCCAATCCTACGGACCATTAGATAATGGAAGCCTGGAAACACCTCAGGCCACAGCTGTTAAACTAGAAAGTCAGAGCAAGCAGTTATGCTGGGAAGGGATTCATGACTTGTGCCATGGAGAGACTCTCTTGTGAAGCTAACTGCTTGCAGATAATGGACTAAAAGTCACAATTTAGTTTCAGTTTCGAAATTGTGCCTTTCATTACAGGGGTATCTTGGAACATTTCAAATGCAATTAAGTCAAGGGTAAGAAATTAAATACGTAAGTGAAATACATAAAACCAAATGGTCAGTATATGATAAAATTAGTTAAATGTTCATTTAAAAGACTTTGTCCCTATGGCCTGGTATTATCTAAGAAAAAAATATGAAATATAGACAGAAGTAGAGGATAGAAGTAGAGGAGAGAGAATAGGAGAGAGACAGGGAAGATAGGAGTCAAATGGGGAAAAGACAGGAGAGAGGCCAGGAGAAGGAAGGCAGCAATAAGGAGGGGCAAGGACCGGAGAAGGAAGAGGACGGGCGGGATCCTTCACTTCAGCATTCATTCACTTCCATGGCTGCACAGAGTGTGATTAAATGAGTCTTTCACTCCAGGGTTATTGAATATGAAATCATGGAATTAAAAGAATTAAAAGTACTTCATTTAAATACAGAGAAAATTGGAAGCAGTAATTAATTTAATTGCTCTTTCTGCTTTGTATGGATATGAAAAATATCCTTCCCATTTAGCTTCTTTTACTAAAAAAAATATAGTGAAACGTATGCTGGGGTTTTCAAAACAAAATCCTTTAGGATTGGAAATACAAATAGCAGGGATAAAAATTGAAGTTCAAATCATTATAATCAGAAACTGAGCTCAGTTCATGGTGTGAAAGGACCCAAGTTAGTGCATGGTAGATGATCACACAAAATTGGGCAATATCAGAAGATGCTAAGGGTGGTGCCAGGGTTGATTCGATGCTTCTGAGGGATTGATGCTCAACATGTTTAGCTCTGGGTCACAGTATCAGGCATCCATCAGTGGAAACTGAGGAAACCATGATTCTCATTGATAACTCTCAGCTCTGTTTTATTGTGGAAGAGAGCAGCATACAAAAATCAAGAGGTGTTTGAAGCCCCACTCATTTTAATCAATTAAGTGTATCTATATTTTGCTTCTTCCTTCTACCTACTTACCCCTCCCCATTTCACACTCCTCTCTATTAGAGATGTAAGTGGCAAAATAGTAGTTGGTTTCCAGAGAAAAAAGGATATGTTAGATACTCCACAAACTGGACACTAGTCCTTAAAAAATTATAGACTGAGTAGCAAAAAGCATTTATCATCACATCCAGTTACCCATTCTCTGTATAGACCTGAGCACAAAGCAGTGAGACTCAAGTTCTGTACCTCAACTTCAACTTTGGTCTTCTGTATCCAAATACTGAATTATTGTGACAGTTTTGTTGTTTTGAGAATTCTAAACTGGGTTCACACAATCAGCTGATGAGCAGCTGATTGGATCAAATATGCCTGGAGTGGATTTGGAATCCCCAAGTTGAAAACTAATTCCATTCAAACATTTCTCAAAGGCATTTAATGTTTAATATGTCAAAAATATATTTTCAAATAATGAATTGAGTAGTCCTTAGCATGGGTGAGTGTGTGTGTCTTAAAGGAATGAATATGATTCTGTTGTAAACAAATTGTTGAAGTAAATGTATAATTTTATATGTTTATAAAAGAAAAGCATTAGAAATCATAAAAGGTTTACCTCTTTGAGTTCACCTTCAGTATTAAGAAATTCTGTAACTCCACTGATAAGTTTGGAATTCATAAATAATGCCTCTCCATACCTTGAAAGATGAAAAGAAGTCTTAAGGTTAATAAAGGCAGTAATTTAAGAAATACTATTATATTTCTAGCTCTCTCAAAACCTATTTGAAAAAATAATGATAGTAACTTCCTCTAACCTTGTGATGAAAATAGATATACACTTTGACAAAGTACAGACAGTCCCAAACAAGATGAACTAAAAAAGTCCCACACTAAGGCACATCATAATCAAATAACATATAAAGAGCTTCCCAGACAAGAAAAAGCTAAAGGAATTTATTACCACCAAAACATTGTTATATGAAATGTTAAAGGATCTTCTTTTTAAAGAAGAAGAAAAAAATATAAAAATATGAACAATAAAATGGCAATAAATACATATTTACCAACAATTGAATCCAAAAAAATAAAATAAATGAACAAATAGAACAGAAACGAGATTCATAGATACAGATAGGAGGGAGGTTGGGGGGATAGATGAAAAAGGTGAAATGATTAAGACGTACAAATTGGTAATTATGGAATAGTCTCGGGAATGTAAAATACTGCATTGAGAATATAGTCAATAATATTCCAATAACTGCATGGTGTTGTTGGAAGAGTACGAGATTTATTGGGATAATCACTTAGTAAGTTATATAATGTTTAATCACTGGGGTGTATACCTGAAACTAATAATATTGTATGCCAACTATAATTGAAAAATAAAAAAAAGAAAAAAGAAATATGACTATAAATATTTCTTAGAACCCTTCTCACAGGATCCATTTGACCGGTGGTGTCTTGATGCTATCAAGATCTCTGAGCATTCAAGGTCATTTCTATAGGAAGTTGGGAGGTGCAAAGAGCTATGATTATAGGATACCAGCAAATGCCACCTGATTTGGCTCACAACTTTTAAGAAAAGTCTGAGTAGTATTAATTTTTTAAAAAGGAGCACTCTAAAATTAGATGCAAGAACTACTATTGCATCCCCAATCCAAGGCCTGAGGAAAAACCTATTTTAAAACTTTCAACTTTAACAATCTAGCTCACTAGGAAAAAATAATCCCAACTAGGGAAACAGGATTGCAAGACACATTTGGGCATTATCAGTATGTCACACAGATTCTTTAGTCTGGTCAGTCAAAACTGACATTAGCATTTTTCATAGTTAGAAACTGAGTCAAATTTCTCAAAAATGTTTCGAAAAATTAGCATTTTTTCATGTGGCCATTAAAATACAATATCAAGTTGTTCATTGGAATTGCATAATTCTTCTACCACACACATAAGTACTCGGCTCAGGACGCAAGGCAAGAGTTTTCATTTATTGACTTGCCTATTCTATGCTAAGGATACTTATCAGAGGCTATCATACTCAGAACTAAGAAACGTACACAAAAATAACAGTCTGAGTTTTAGAAAGCAAACGTCAGGCCACTGTTACCAGAGGTTGTCTAATGCTGCTCTTACATGTGGGACTTTAAATAATTTAGCTTCTGAAGCCTCAGTTTTCTCATCTGTAAAATGAGGGGACTAGGCTGAAGACTGTCAGAATTTGTTATAATTCTAACATTGAACTATTTCGTGGGAAAGAGTTAGCTAAATAAAATAAATAGGCATTCAATAATAATATAAGTAATTGTTAGTAATCATTATGTGGTTAAAGAAATGGCCTACTGTGCAGGAATAAAAATAATTCTTTTTCTAAGAGTGTTTTGCTTATACTTCACTTATAGTCATGTAAAGATGAATAAGGCGCAAGCCATTCCTTGAAGGTATTATAATATCTAGTATTATAAAGAGATAATTTCCATTTATTGTAATGATAAGAAAAGTATGCACCTTGTTTAGAGAAGGTCTCTTTTGCTGTGGGATCTTGAGATAGGATTTGGGGAGATGATGGCATATAGACTGAGTATGGAATAGTTCCAAAGATCAAGGAAGAAAGTAATTTAGACAGAGGACCAATATAAACAAATGCAAGGATGTGTGAAACAACATGATGTGTGAAGACAACTACAAGCATTTGGTATTAAGGGCCTATAAATTGTGAGCCTGGGAACAGCAGAACAAGAGGCCACAAGGTTAGTCAGAGGACTTATAAGGGATCTTCGATTCTCAGTGCAGCACAGAACCATTGAAGGTTTTACATCAGAGAAATAGTACTTTGTTTTTTGGAGTGATTCTTGGGACAAGTGGAAAAGGCCAGTGTGTGTGTTGGGGGGAAGCGCATACACACCACAGTGGTGGAGATGATTATAGAGGCAGGGAAAAATAGGGCTATTGTTAAGAGTACTGGTAAGAAATAATAACCTGTACTAGGGCAGTGGTAACAGGAAAGAGAGGTCTAATTCAAGGAACATTTAGGAATTGTTGAATTGACCAGGCCTCAAGACTAATTGTTCTATGTGACAAGGGAAAGGGGGAGTCATATGTAGATTTTCAGGTATCTGGGTTGAGTAATTGGTGGATAGCCATACTATTTGCTGAGAAAAGGCAGAGATAAATGATGGGTTGAGCTTTGCAAGTACATCCCAGTAGGGGATCCCAATAGGCCATTGTCAATTACAAGGTACCACTTAGGTGAAATGTCTGAGTTAGAGATATAGATTTGAGTAATGAAACCATGAGTATAGATGACAACTAAAACCAGGGAGGATCTGCAAGGCAAGAAGTAAAAAGAACTTAGGAAGGCACACCCATGAACTCAAATATTCAAATGCTGACAGAGATGTGAGAGCAGATTATGACAATCTTATTTGTCAAGATAGACACTGCTGTATCTGTGCATATGCTATAATTTTAACCTTTCTACCTTTTGATTAGAGATTATGGACTCTGAGATAAAACAGACATTTTTTGGTAGGAACTAAACTATGTACTCATTACAGTGAACTCTGATCTACAAAAACACCCTCTAAAGAGACTTTCTATTGGTGGATATTTAACACTCTTTATAAAATGCTTGCATATACTATTAATTTAATCTTGTGTCTGACTATTCACTATGTTACGTGCATAACAGCAAAGCAAGTTTTAATCTTCCAATCATTCTAATTTTTGAGCTGAAAATACAAAAACCCAATGTGATTTTTAGGAATATCACTGCTTTCTGACACCAAAATATCTATAGATAGAAATGTGTTTTAATATGATACACCCATTCAGATTGAACTCTTTATACTGATAAAGGCGTACTTCTTAAAAGTAAAATTTATATACCAGTTTTTAAGATATAGAACAATAGGTCTGCACACTGTCTGGGGACATTTAAGTTTGAGAACATGCAACATTCACATGCTCTATAATAAATTTAATTTTAAAATACCATAGAGATTTTAAGAGTAATAAATTAACATTTATTATAATATATTTAAATATATCAGAAATATTTTCTAAAAGTGAGGCTGAAGAATTCTCACCTTGAAAGAAGATGTTTCAGGAATGAATTATACTGCAACTAGGATTATGCAATGATTCAAATGTTCCATGGTTTTATTTCAGGTGTTTTGTGATATTTATATTTTAAAGGAAATTTAAAACAACTATACAGAAGTAAAGTTTTCTTATCATAATACAATTATACCTGATTTGTAAGTCATTTTTATAACATATTCAGGATATAGAGGTTTTATGATAACAATTTCTTCAACTTGAGACAGTTTGATAGATTGCCAAGGAAAATTGCACTGCTAAAACTTTTTACTCTCTACATTTACACATATAATTATAGTGATCAATATTTAATAAATGAATAATGTTATATAATGTTAAAATAATTTTGAGTTTCATAGGCATGGCAAGACCCATCTTGATAGACTTTTTAAAAATTTAATTCTATTATTTGGACTTTTATTCTAACACAAAAAGTTGTGCTTTTCTCCCTCATATGTTATCTTTTATTAACTCAATTATGAATGATTAAACTCAATATCTACCTGGTATTCAATATCTTCCACTTATCTCTGAAAAACTTCCAGGCAAGGTCCCGACCATGTGGATTTCGAGCTACATGGATTATGACATCAATTGCATCTTGATCCAGCACCACCTCAGAATTCAGTGACAGATTCAGAAGCCTTTAAAGATAGAATTGTGGGGTAAGTTTTAGTCCCACAACTTAAACATTTTTATAAAATTACAAGAATTACATGGTATAATTTATCATATTCTTCTAGAGAACAGTCCAGGGTAAACTTTACTAATACAAATTTAACAATAGAATGATTTTCTGGTTATAAAAATGGAGGAAGATCAAACTCAGATATGTTAATAGATTAGTTAAATTTTCAAAAATCTTGTGGGTGGAGAAATCATAATTTTGGTTTGATGATGCAAATTTACCTTTAAAATTCTTTATAGTAAACATTTTCTTTAATATTGACATATTATCCTACATGTATACGTAAAATATAACTTTAAAAAATCAGTTAGAAACAAAGGTATATCTATCAAGTCAACTAGCTTTAGTTATCTTAACATATCAGTTTTCCTTAGTTTTAGGAATATAGACTTATAGTAATTAGCATATACTCCAGGAAAGAAAAACAACTTCAGAACGGTTTGATTAATGAAGAATACTTTCATTACACAAATACATTTGACAATAATTGACCTACCTATTTAATAAATTCCTGTCATCACTGCAAGTTAAGGCTTCTAATAATATTTTCTTCTCAGAAACTGCTGTGGTAGAGTGAAATTTCATCCATATGAATTCCCAGACATCCTCATCTAGCAGTGAAACTCCTGTACAGTAGACGATGTCTCTGACGTTTAGTGGTATTCTAAGGAAGCAACCCATGTGGATTCTGTTAATTAAAAGCTTGATAGCATTGAAAATAAAGACAGATGCTGCTTTACTACAGGAAGTTTAAAAAGGTGATTTTGTTAATTGATTTTATCTGAAAGAGAATAATACCATACCATAACAATATTCAAAAATATTGGTGACTAACTTTTAAAAATAATGTATTTTTGATGAACAAAAAACAGTTGCAGAGACAGAGAAGCATCAATCAGACCATCAAACCTCAGAGGGAAGGTAGGGGAGGGTGGGGGTAAGGGAGAGAGATCAACCAAAGAACTTGTATGCATGCATATAAACCTAACCAATGGATGCAGACAACAGGGGGGTGAGGGCATGATTAGGGGGTTTGGGGGAAAAATGGGGGGATAAGGACACATATGTAATACCTTAATCAATAAAGAAATTAAAAAATAATAATGTATTTTCTTTAAATGTAGTTTTGAATGGAATTTTTCTTTCCACCCTTAAAACTGTATCTAAACAAACCTCCCCAAAATAGGGTGCTCTATATTTCCACCAAGCAAAGATTTTGCCTTCATCATTGGTAGACATAAGAACGTTTACAAAAGCACTGGTTGAAAAGACTGACTAATTTGGATTAAACAGAAACATTTTGTCTAAATGTTTACACAATTTTTTTAAAAATTATTTTTCTCAAATAGCTCTTCAAATTTTAGAACCTAGAAGATTATTAACATGGACAATAAACAAAATATATGTTTCAAATGTTGAGAAAGTAAAAAGTTTATTTGCCTATGTTTATATAGGTAACTATAAAAATACACTACATTTTGACTTTAACTCCAAAAGAAAATGTTACAGTGGGAAACTGTAGATTTAATCGATCTTCGTTTTTTATTTGTTTGTTTTTTATTTATTTTCTGGTGAAAGCAATTTATTGGCAGGGTCATGGGAGGAGGAGGGGGCAGAGAATCAATGGGAGGCTAGAGAATCAGATCAGGTAGCTAGTATCCCAGGGAAGGGCATGTGGCTGAAACATCACCTCCAACCCTGGCATGATAGCTTCAGTTAACATTCAAATCCTGGCTATTTATAAGGTGTAAATTATCATGTGTTCTTTGCCATAGCAACTTTTTACTAAATGTTGTTCTTTCAAGATCCAATATATACCCTACATTTAAAAAACTCAGTCCTATAAATGAATGCTCCAATATTTAAAAAAAGTTAAAATGTATTACTGCTTTGTGTAATATTCAGTAATTTGTTATTATACTTTTTATTTATGATTTGAATATAGCTAATAATAATGTGCTTTCTCTAGATAACAAGGTGAAACAATCCCTTTAAAGAATTAGGACTTTGATGGTTTAAATACTAATATAATTAAAAGAGTATTTGGAAAAAAAGACAAAAGTGTCCTTATGACTAAGTAAGATGATCTTATTCTGTTAAGAAGCTAAGTAGGGCTACATTCAGGATACTGAAGATTATGTATTAGGATACCAGATGTGCAGTTGTTAGAAATCCTATATAATAAAAGGGTAATATGCAAATCGACTCAATGGCGGAACGACAAGTTGCTATGACGTGAACTGACCACCAGGGGGCAGATGCTCAATGCAGGAGCTGCCCCTTAATGGTCAGTGCACTCCCACAAGGGGAGCACCGTTCAGCCAGAAGCCCTGAGCCTGGCTTACAGCTGGCGAGCGTAGTGGAGGTGGTGGGAGCCTTTCCTGCCTCCACAGCAGCACTAAAGATGTCTGACTGATGGCGTAGGCCCACGCGAGGAGTGAGCCTAAGCCATCAGTGGGACATCCCCCGAGGGCTCCTGGACTGTGAGAGGGCGCAGGCTGGACTGAGGGAACACTCTCCCCAATGCAAGAATTTTGTGCACTGGGCCTGTAGTATCATATAAAATTCATGGTTCCCAGAAATAGCTAAAACTATATTATTCCATCTCTTCTTGCAAGTAAAGTATTTGGAGAAAAGTTACTTTAACTTTGCTAACCAAAGCCATTTTTCTGTTTGTTTATTTTATTAATTTGTTTTCTTTTAATAAAACAAAACAAAAGGAATACAGACATCTGAAGAAACCAACAAACAACTTCACATTTTCTCCTGTTTTTCCTCTTAACCCCAGACTTCCTTGAAGAAAATACCAACAATAGTCTTCCCAATGGTAGTGAAACCTTATTCTGCCAGGTCTGTATATGACCTGCCTGCAACACAGCACACCTGAAAGCCTTAAGGAAAACATCGCCACCATCTCTTGAAGAAACGTGTCAATCCTGGTAAATACAACAAAAGATTACAAAGATGTCTGCATATTTACTAACTGTAATAAAAAAGCTAAAACATCTAGTCTTTATCTAAATCAACAGCTAGGAAAGATGAATTGTTTCTTCCAAAAATTATAGGCTACAGAGCACAACACTGTATTATTTTCATGACTTTGGCCAAGAGATCAATACAAATATTTGCAAGAAATAATGATTAAATGTCTACTGTGATCATCAACTCATCAATCTTTGCATATTTTCTTAATTTTGACCTAATAATAACAGTTTATTTTCTAACAGACATTCATTAAGCTGGTTAATATACCAAAGAGAGCATAGGAACAAAGCCCACTGAATTAGGTGGGTTACTGCCTATGAAACCAGTCTCTAATATCAATGGTTTCAAGTAAAAAGGTCAGACAGAAATATAAAAAAGGCAAAAAGAAAAAATGAACATTAACACATTTCGTACCGCTCAGGAGTTTTCTCGTGTTTCGCGCGCCATCTGTTAAGGACCGCTCACGAGTGTTCTCATTTTTCACGCCCATGGAAAAAGGAGCGAATCTAGATACTTATGTAAATTTTGTTTGGTCCCTCTTCATAGAGGAAAATGTTTTACGCAGTACCATACCTTAAAAAAGTACTAGGAATTTTAATTGTTTGTTTTTGTAAATAAAAATGTTATAATTATTGAAAAACAACACCTAAAGTGCATTATGATGATTTAAATAATGTGCAGTTTGCTCAAAAACATGTGGTCACTGGCGTATGTCTTAGAGATTTCTATGCGGTATGCAATGTGTTAAACTATGTTCCTTAGAAAGACCTTGAAAGCCATATACTATAGTTACTAGCAACTGTCAATATTGTTGTTATTCAGTACTTGCTATTGGCTGCTGCTGAACTGTGTAAGATGCATAGAAGTAAACTAGAGGCCCGGTGCACGGAATTTGTGCACGGGGGGGGGGGCGTCCCTCTGCCCAGCTTGCACCCTCTTCAATCCAGCACCCCTTAGGAGATGTCTGACTGCAGGATGTCCCTGCGGGATCAGGCCTAAACCAGCAGTCGGACATCCCTGTCATAATCGGGGACAGCTGGCTCTTAACCACTTACCTGCCTGCCTGTTTGATCGTCCCTAACCACTCTGCCTGCCGCCCTGATCACCCCTAACTGCCCTCTCCTGCCAGTCTTATCACCCCTAACTGCTCTCTCCTGCCAGCCTGATTGCCCCTAACTGCCCTCCCTTGCTGGCCTGATTGCCCCTAACTGCCCTCCCCTGTCAGCCTGTTCTCCCCTAACCAACTCTGCCTCAGCCCCCGCCACCGTGGCTTTGTTTGGAAAGAGGACCGGATGACCAGAAGATGTCTGGTCAACCTGGTCTAATTAGCATATTACCCTTTTATTAATATAGATGGATTGGCCATTCTAAACCCTGCACACTGGCTAAAAGAACATCAGAGGTAGAAAATAAACCTTCTGTGCAATATTATGTCTCAGGTTACACATCTTATTTTAATTAGTCTATATAATAACATCATGAGGTCTCTATTATAAACTTCCTTTAGCAGGAGAGGGAACCTACTTTGAGAGGGGGTATTTTGCATGATAGCAACTATCTAGTAAGTTGAGAAGCAGAATGGTCTGTACATGAAAGTCATTCTTCTTTACATCTGCTTAGAGATGGCTAATAATGAAAATAAGATTTATTGATTTCTATTGGTAGCAATATTTAAATTATTGTCACTGAATTCTGATATGTGCTGTTTAATAAAACACTATCTGATAAAAAATAGAGCAAGAAAACATTTTTAATTAAAAAAATAGTATATCCTTTGTGAAAGTACTGACAGCTACAGAGTAATACCAGTTATCCAACCCATACTTCTCTTCATGCTGAACTGGCCACAGATATCACCTCTAACCTCTTTTTAAATTATTATTTTTATACACAGCTTAGTTAGTCATCTTTGAGACATATTCAATGTTGACAAGACTGTTTTATCCAACAATAAGTACCTACTCTGCTCATGGAAGTGATCCTTGTTAAAATGCCACCTTGTTAAAATACATAGGCAAGCTGTGTATTGAAGGAGCTGCTGCATGGCAAGCTGGTCATACACAAAGCCAGGGAAATAAATATGGAAAGGGAACCCAGCAATCAAGTGTTCCAAATGAGTTCAAATCCGAAAGCCACTGATTCATTCTTTGTTCTGATCCTAACCAAAAACTCAATGAATGTCCTGCTAACTCTGAACGTGTTCCATGACATTCCCGGGTCCATCTCAGAACACTTAAAGGCATTTGGGCACTTTCATTACCTCTTGTGACTGTCTGGCGAATTACAGTGGGATGGCTTTTTAAAGATACCTCATAAAAGTTCCCTGTTCTGTTATCTGAGGTCTGCTATCAGAAAACCAAGATATGGAGAACCAAGATGGCGGCATAGGTTAACGCCGGAGTTTGCTGCTTTGAACAACTACTTCAAAAGTGAAACTAAAAAACGGAAGGGACATCACCCAGAACCACAGGAACGCTGGCTGAGTGGAAGTCCTACAACTAGGAGGAAAGAGAAACGCATACGGACACTCAGAGGAGGCGCAGTGCTGAAGTCAAATTCTGAGGTGCGGAGTGCGCGGAGCGGGCTGGCGGCGGAGGGCGCGGTTGGCGTTTTCAATCGGGAGGGAGTCGCAGACTCTGAGCTCCAGACCTGGGCGAGTCTCTGGGGACCCAGACTCAA